CCAAAAATCCCCGGATACAGATGAGATGAGCAAAGTGGAGCATCCGGGTGTTTCTGTCCGAGTGGCTCGAGCTTCGTTTTGGGGCCTTGCAGGGAAAGCTTGCGGCTGGAACGCGAGCGTTATTTAGAGTGTGCGAGTACGAGGGCACGTTTGCATACAGTGCTCGTCTCTCTTTTGTGTGCACGGCCCGGTAGCTGTGACCCACTTCACCGGATCACCATCTCTCATCCGAACAGAGCTCCTTTTCCATGGTTCTCCCCCCATCCCCGCATCCATCAACGCCTACGTCCAACATCTGACAGCAAAGAAAAATCCCCGTGCTGTGGTGGAGATAATGGTGCAACAGCCAGCCTGTAAAATAACAACATGGTCCAGAACAACAACACTGTCCCATTTGGAGTACAAGAACCCCCGCACAATGGCCTAGTGTTCAAGGCCCAGGGGCACAGGCGGGGCTCCCCACTGCCATCCAAGCTGTTGGACAAGCAAGGAGGTCACAATCGCACAACAAACAGGGCTCCACTTCCTTATTATTTTATATTAAGACAGAGAAGCTTTTGACTGGAATTAGGTTGTTTTACTTGGGGACCACCAATACCAATGTCAGGTTCCATGTGTTCATACTCGGACAAATTGTACCAAAATCACTTTAGGTCAGAGTGATGTTCACCTCTTAATTGAGCGTTTTTTTTTTAAATATACGTATTTATTTTTAGCTGATTGTTCTGATCTACACTCCTATTCAGGTAGTGTTGGTAATTCACCAAAATTAGTTTACTGACAAAAGAAAAACACCACCAGAAGAAGTCGTCGAGCAGAAGAGGGCCCTGGGAATATACAGATGTGGGCACAAGCTTCCCAACAATTTAACTGTTTACTCTCTGGCAAGAGAATCAAGGTCTTCATCGTCATAATGGAGGTTATAAAGACATTAAAAAGCATTGCATGAGTTAAGCACCCAGTATGCTCCATTTGAACTGTCGAAATCGCCTTTAGTTGTTGCAGTGGCATGAGGAAAATTGCGTCATTTTGTTTGCATCTTCCACCCCTTCTTGTCACAAGGCCCGGGCCGAACCTTTCAGCCCCCCCTGTATAAGAAATTATAGAAGTTTGTGGGCATGATTCAGAGGTAAACTTAACCATTGTTTAGGTTGTCCAAGACAACCTATTTTCGTTGCGACAACCAGATCTTGTCTCCTGGTTGTCCAGTGGACAACCAAGCAAAAAAGACCCTGATTAAAATTCTCTGCTGCGGGTTTCCATTTGTAAAAATGAAATGGAGAAAAAACTTGGTAAAACCAAACAGAAGACTTAACCGTAACTTTTAATAAGGTCATGTACACAGTATACTCCTATTTAAGTGAAAATGTTTGACCTATGAGCAGAAAGAAGCTTATGAATGTTGAACTCTATTTCAGAGAAGAGAATGAGGAAATTTTATTCATGCAGCTCCTGTCAATCTGGCTAACTGAGAACAATTATATAAAACTTTGTCGACAAAACAATATACTTGCTAAATTACATTTTTCTTGAGATTCTTTTGGACAACCAAAATGTTTTGCGGACAACCAGATTGTGTCAACAGGTTGTCCGCTGGACAACCTGAAAATTTTCTTTATGTCTACCCCTGTGATTGCTTTAACTATTCGTTTTCACAATTCAGCTGTTGTACCTGGAAGCCTACAAAGTAAAACGGCCAAAAAAACACATGGATGAAAGTAGCAAAAGACGATGTGCATGGAGGAATCCAACGGGAATAACCCCCATGCAGCAGGAGGGGTTTTTGCAGGAGCTGGGCTTGCTGTGTTCTCGTGAACTGTGAAAGATTTGTGCGAAAACGAACATCAACCATGTGACCGTGCGTCAACTGTTCGGCTTTGTGTGGAGCGTACTACCGACCCAAGAAAGTCAAACCAGTGGGCCCTCCAGCAGCCACCAAGTGAATCAGTTGCAAATTGGGCCATGCTATCATACTGCACAGTTTTGTGGAAGGGGGATGGATAGCAACAAAAGATATGAGCCCAAACTAACTGTGCTCGTCAGAGTCTTCAACCATGAGTTGTTGATCAGCCTGAAAAACGTTGACTTGGATGTGGTTTAAAGGCATCAGATAACGCTTGCAATTTGTAGAGACAAGTTGAAATAAAACCCAAGTTATTTTATCTTCCTCTTCAGTTTTGAGTGTTTCGTATTGATCATACCGGGTGTGCATGTGCTTCTTACTATTCTTCGTTGAGAATATGGACTCTATAAACTTCTGAAATGCTCGCAGACAGTGTGACAGCATCTATGGGATTTGTGAAAAAATGTATTTTCAGTGAGAGTAACCTGGATTTAAATGTCTGCCTCTTTGTTTTCCTTTGTGCTGTTGAAAGACTGATCCATTTGCTTCAAAGAGTTGGAACAGAACGTTGGAGCTTAATCTTTCATGTTTCATCATACTGTGTGTGGGAGGTCTGAGGGGGAGGATGGTATTTTTTTTAAAAGGTGCAACTCGGATACTAAGAAAAAAATGTAGAACTTGTAAATGTGCAAGTATGTGTTCTGTGTCCAACACTAATTTTTACTTTATTACCTTAAATGGACGAGTTGCTTGAAGATGGAGGTGTTTTTTCCCTAAATTCTTCTGCCAAAATTGATGCCTCTTCATTGGATTTTACTTCTAAGGCAGAAAGAGAAGAAAAGATGCCACCAGCTGGAGCTCATGACACATGCTGTCCACATTCCTCCCTCATGACTTCCCCATTCACCACCTGATTTGCATTTGATCCCCTTACACTTGGCTAAACTCTCCTGAAAACCGCCGCAGGTCAGGGGTGCGACCCCCCTCGCCTTTTCGCCTGAAGTTTTCTGACACATTCTCCCTACCTCTTCAACTAACCTGCTCCAAACTTGACAAGGCGGGGTTCAGAGGTCAGCGTGAGGAGGGTATCTCGGGTCATCGGCAGTAGCCTAGAGGCCGGAGTTGCCAAGAGTGGTCGTCTGCGCTCATTGGGTTAATAGGATAAGTGGCCCTGCAGGTCACTTTGGCCCAGTTCTAATGCTAATACAAGAGCTTGTCTCTGCTCTGTTGCCAGGATGGAGAATAAATCCAGGATTTAGGGACTCCACTTGGTTACAGTTTTAATCCAGACATGTTTGAACTTATCATTATTTCATCCTTGGGATCGGTTGTGAATGCTAAAAACTGACTTCTGTTTTTCGCTCCTCCATTTTCTTTCCTTTTTTTTGTGCTCTTTTTTTATTTTTTCATTGCTTTCTTGAAGTGATTGCCTGTGAAGTGATTGTGGAGTGTGTTATCTTTTAACTTTCCTCACAGATGCCTCTTGGGAGTGAATGCTAGCTCATCCACAGACTCTGTGATTAGAAAAGTCTTAAGCAGTCTCTTGATGTTAAAATGGAAGATTTTCTTCATTTTAAATTAATATTCCACACCGACCTCTCACGCACCACCTTCCCACGGTCAACACGTCTCATATAAACTAAAAGTGCTTTGAAATCAATGCTTTTGTTAGAAATTATAGAGACCACCTTCTCTTTCTTGTTTTGGGTCCCAGGAGGGAGTTGGTGTTTGAGATGTCTGCAATCCTTTTACCTTTAATCCACTCCTCAGACACTTGTGTTGCTGCCGTCTCCGCAAAGCTGTTTGGCAAAGAAGTGGGCCAATTTAGTGGCCTTAAGTGTAATAAAAAGGCATATGAAGAAAGTCTGAGAGATAGTGTTTAGTGGGTTTTGCTGKGAAGCGTCTACAGCCACTTTGTAATATATATATATATAAAAAAAACCAGTCATTGTGTTGTCTTGGAAAAATAACTTATCCTCTAAAGTCCGAGATTCTGCAGGCCAGGCGTCAGTGACCTCTTTTGCTTCCCTTAAAATGACTTGTTTTATGATTCCACTCTTTATCTTCTGTTTTCTCTCAGACAAAGTGTTTCACAACCAGGACAATATCTGTTTAGAAGTAATCATTCTAGTTGCTGTTCATCAAATATCATTGTCTCCTTGACCCAGCTTTAGTGCCAGGAAAGATGTTTATTGCCTCTTTTGGATAACATACTGTATAAATGCGTAATCTGATTGTTTTACATCTCACACCCAAATATTTTAAGATGTTAATGCTCTCTTTCATTTTTCTTTTTTCTTTTTTGTAAAATGTCAGCTTAAAGACAAAAATTTCAAAATGACAGCTAAAATTTTAAATGACTAAATGCTGATGAAGGATAGTTGGATTTCTATGAGCACAGATTGGTAAATTAAAGGGGCAATATTATGTGTTTCTCAGGCATATATTTAAATACTATACCATAATAAAGTATCTATGTCACCTTTAGCTGTTTTTAAAATGCTGTTTTTATGTTTAAATAGAAAATAAACTCATCTTCTCATCACTTCCTCTTTTAAATGCCTTGAAATTGGCCTCTGTCTCTTTAAGAACCACCTTCCGCTTCTGTCCTGTCCATKKYGKKRKGGKGGGRGGGKGGGCTRCCAWGATGCAGTTTACTTGGCATCTGAAAATACATTTCCTCAAAGGTATTTTTAATCTGAAAAGAGCTTCACTGAGTGAGAAGTAATGTTGAGAGCTCAGCAGACAGTTAGGTTTCACTTTCACTTTCACCCAAGAGCCTGCAGGAGCCATGGGTGGGGTGCACTCTGCCATGAGGAAGTTCGGCTTAAAGACACGTCCCAGGGGCGTTTCTGGTCCCAAAAGGTGTTTCTGGCCCCCACCTGTCGTTTTGCTCCTCAGCATGGCTTCCTAAAAACACTGCAGGATTTCTCAAACATGCATGAATGAGTCAAAGCAAGGCTTTGGGCATGTTTTTTATGAGAGTATAACATTATAACATGATATAAAACTCAAAAATGTTGATTTTACATGATATTGCCCCTTTAATGTAATTTTTACACAGTATGGTTTGTCCCAAAGCTTCGCTGTTTTTTTTAAGACAAACTAATTGCTCCCTTTCACTTGAATTCTTACCAGTCATGTATCTTCTTTTCAGATGCATCCTTTGGGACTATGCAATAATAATGATGAAGAGGACCTGTACGAGTACGGCTGGGTCGGAGTGGTGAAGCTGGAGCAACCAGAGCTGGACCCCAGCTGTCTGACAGTCCTGGGAAAGGTAAAAACTGCTGGCTCTTTCTGTTTTTATGTTGCTTGTCAGTTACTGTGGCTTTCTTGATAAATTGCACAGTACAGCTGAATGCTGCCGTTATGTCGGAGAGGCTTCTTGTTTTTATGAATATTCTGTGTGCAGCATGACCTCCTTAGTAGTCTTGGAGTAATTTTGGCATGTAAAAGTAGATTAGCTGTTTTGTTAAATAATAAATTGTGATCATGATAATTGATGTTTTAAAACTGTAGTGGTCGATAAACGTCTTGAGGACTGAAATGAAGGCTTTCTGGTGCTGTGATTGTAGACTTTCAAAGGAAAGAGCTTGTGGCGAATTTAAGCAAATCATTTGATAAATTGGACCTCCTGTAATTACAAATAATCCTGTTTTTGTTTCGTGTTTTTGTTGTCTCTTGCGGGGAGAGTAAAGAGAAACTCCACACTCATCCCTTCATCCTTCCCTCCCTGCCTCCCCACTGTGCTCAGACCTCTCTGGAGTCTCCGAGTGGTATTTCATTGTGCTATAATTAAGTGGTTCTCTTAATGGATTGTACCAACATTTCCTGGAGGAATAAGATGAGGGGGGCTGGCTGCAGTCCCTTTTTCATCCTGTGCATTCCCGGTGACAGAAAGAGAACAGTCATTCATGATTTAAGGAGCCCTTGTGGTACATAGACATGCTAATGCACTCTGTTCGGTGATGGTCTCTGCTACCTGCCCTACGCTGAACCCCATAAACTTGCATCATTCTCAGCAGAGCTTCTCCTCAGCCATAACAGATGAATTTACTCACTGGTAAATGGTCTTCACTGAGGGGATGTCTGTGGCTGCGGAGCCATTAAAGTGAACTTTCTGAAACCACAAGATATAGGATGTGAACAGTGTTGTTTCAGGATGGCGGCGTTGTCATGAATTTGACTTGAAGGAGGAAAAAACTTTTGCATTTTTCTCCTTCAAGCCTACTTCATGGCAATTTATAGGCTGAGGACAGTTTCTCCTTTCAGACACGAGACGTTAGACGTGAAAGAGCTCGTACTTTCCTCAGAGCAGCGGCGTTCAGACATTCAGACATGAGTCACGTTGACATTAACGTGTCTTGAGCTTTCAGACCATGATGACAAGATGGTCAGTAATCAGGGGAAATGTGACCTCAAAGTTTTTATATAGGAAAAGTACTGTAGTGTTTTCTTAATGAGCAACTCAAAAAGACTCCTGCATTGGCTGAGTTGAGGGATATTGTGCTCATCACTCCTTTATACCATAATTTTAAGCTTAAGATTATCTTTTACTGAGAAATGATAGAATTACAGCTGTTTTTATCAAACCTTTTGATGCTATTGAATACGAATTTTCTTACACTATAATGTAATACTTTGAGATCTAAGATGATGTATTCAGAGTTTGTGTTGAGAATAACTTCCAGCTACTACCACCTCAAATTTTATCTCAATACCTGTAAAATTAGCAAAAGTATAGCCATGTTTTTTGTCTTTTAATGTTGATTAGCTGTGGTGGCCGCCTTGTAGATGTATGCCCAATGATTGCTTTTTAACTTTTGAGTTTTATTTAAAATTTGTCCAATGGTACATGAGATATTCTAGCAGACTGTTGTAGTTGACTCACATGGGTACTGGTAATGTTTTGAAAATAGTTTTCATTAGGGCTGTGTATTGGAAATAATGTGGTGATACAATATATATCATGACACAGGGGTCACGATACAATATATCACAATATATCGCGATACTGTAAGCAAGGAGATATATTGCCACTTTTTTTCCTCCAACAAATCTCATTTTAAAAACACTCAGTATGTTTTATATGCATTTTATTTGTTCCATATTTCTTATTTCATCCATGTTTTCAATGGTTGAGCCAAATGTGCCATTAAACAGCTTCAAAGAATCGATACAGAATCAGTAAATGGAATATCGTGATATTTCAGTGTATCAATATTTTTGTACAACCCTAGTTCTCTTCTTTGTGCTTGCAGTATGCATTTGGAATGACTTTCACCCATTAAACAAAATTTAATTCAATATTTGTAAAACCAAGTTAAAGCATTTTACTATTTGCTAAGATCATTTAGCCGTTTTGAATCAGTGTAACTCCCAAAGCTATGTCCAGTTATTACTTTCTGAGAGTTGCAATATATTTTATTGAAAACGATACTCCTTAAAGAGAACGACATGTTAGAGGTTACTGCAGCAGGCAGAAACGACCTGTACTGATTTTCTGTCAGAGCAGAGCCGAAGAAGCTAAAGAAGAAAGAGTTGTTTGAATCTGAAGGTCTATGTTCAGCCTTTGCCTGACCTTGCAATCTGAAAGCTGTGTCTATTATTCAACGGGTAGTTCTGCAGCCTTGATGCGTCTCCTTATCAGAACTCTGTAACATTTTATTTTCAGGAATCCTAAGGTTCACCACCCAGATCAAAGAAAAATAAAAAAGGTCTCATTTTCAAACTGCTAGAAGAAAAATGGGTCTGATTTTGGGGGGCATTAGTTGGGCTTTAGAGAGCTCAGTCAGCTGCTACTTCACGCAAACAACTCCCTGGGTATCATGGTTATTCAGCATGCCAGAGAAAAGGTTTAGAAAATCTGAAAAAGAAGCAAAGAAAAATAGCAATCACTGTTTGTCCCCTATGCCCATGTTTAGTTGACCTGAAATGTTTATCCTCCAAAATTAGCTGGGGGCACAGGTCTCTGCTACTGTTATTTTGTGGGTCAAAAGCTGAAAAGTTTGGGAACCACTGCCCTAAACCATGACGGTGAACAATCTTTGTTTTCAGCTCATTTGAAACTTGTTTTGAGACTCCCATGCTGCGAAGATGCAACGAGGAGAAAAACTTAAAATTACCCCTTTAAATACCCTTTCTCATAATTGGAGTCCCTGTGTATGGAGGTCAAGGGTCACTGAACTTACCAAAGCAAATCTGAGTTCCAATAATTAGTCCTAAAGGTTTTGAAATCATTATAAAATGACAACAATGCCCAAATTCATGCACTTGCCTAATTTTGTTTAACCAATTATTGCACACTTTCTGTAAATCATATCAACTTTATTTCACTTCTCAAATATCACTGTATTAGTCCCCTATATGATATATTTAACTGATTTTTTTTATCCAAACAATCAATGATTTTCAAAGGTAAATCAGGAAAATCAACAAGGCTGCCCAAACTTTTGTACCCCACTGCATGGTAGGTTGCATGGTACCAAAGCCATAAGGATACCTGAAAGATCTGAAATCTGCATTTTGTACTCAGTGGAACCAATCAGTTCAGATCATTAATGACATTTTTTCAGGTTTGTAGGTTGAAGCGACACTCTAGTGAGGATAGTTGCAACATTTGGCCTCCACCCAGCCTCCCCAACCTTCAGACCACTCTGTTTCCTCTGTGTTTATTCAGACAGAACTATAATTAGAAAAGGGAAAGCCCATTGTTGCATCCTGGAAAAAATAAAATAAAAAAATAATAATAAAGCTCGCCTGGAACCCGAACACAGCTGGGTGCTTTGCACTGGCGCTGTTGACGGGGCCAGACAGCGCTGCATCTACCCCATGCCAATCTGCTCGCTGTGCCCAGCCAGGCAACAATACCCAGCCCCATTTGGGATACTATGCCCTCCATCACACTCACCCCATTTAGTCTGGCCTTAAGATCTGGGAACCCCTCCGCCCCCACACCAGTCCTCCGCCCCCTCTTTACCCAACTGGCCCCTGACTGAACCCACTCTGCTTTGCTGCCACTTTGCCACCAATGGTGTTGGGGTTTTTTGTGGTCAACTTGGATTGCATCCAATTACAGAATTCCTGAGAACACACAAAACAAAATGTTAGTTGGGTGAATGGAGTTTATTCTAAGCAAACTTTAATTAAATATAAAGCGTTTGGAATTAAAGGACCTCAGCTGTGAGGTCCTTTAATTTACAGCTGATCAAAATGAATACAAGCATTTCTTCCCAGTGAGCGGACCCGGTCTAGATCTGACCTTAGCTTAAGAAATCAAATTTTCTTGCAGTTTCTAATACAGATTTTGTTTTCTGCTGTTTCTTTTCATTATGGGCAGCACGACGGCTCAGTGGTTAGCACCGACGCCCCACAGCAAGAAGGTCCTGGGTTCAATGCCCGGTTCGGATCTGGGGTCTTTCTGTGCGGAGTTTGCATGTTCTCGACGTGCTTGCGTGGGTTTTCTCCGGGTACTCCAGTTTCCCCCCACCCCACAAAAACATGTACAATAGGTTGCCTTCAGGCCCCAGACCTCCCTTGAAAAAGAGATCCGAGATCTCAACGGGACTTGCCTGGTTAAAGAACGGTGAATAAAATTATACTGTTTATAGGCCGGTGCTGAAAGGTGGATTTGGATCGATAATGTTTTAGGCCTGTCGCAAAAAACAGTAAATCAATTACTTGTTAGATAAATTAAAATGAGGTCGATTATTGTTTCAGCTGGCGACGCCCTCTTTCGGTTGTTTATTTTTTTTATGCTATGTAAATTTTGTAAACGTCCGTAAATGTTCTGCCATTAAGTTTAAAATAATCTCCAAACAGTATTATCGTTTATCGCGATAATTTCTGATGCAATTTATCGTCCAGGTAAATAAATGTTTTTGTCTTTTGTGCATTTTTGTTTATTAAAATATCTCATGAACCACTGATGATGAAGCTTGCAGAAGCTAATCATACGTTACACCTACAACTTTTGGAGTTAAAACAAATTCAAATTGGTTAATGTTTGTCACCAATAACTTACCTTAGCGATCACAAAAAAAGCATTCCTTGTTTTTTCAGGACTTTCATTTACCGTATTTTTCGGACTATAAGCCGCGACTTTTTTCCTGAACTTTGAACCATGCGGCTTATAGACCAGTGCGGCTTATACGTGGATTTTTTTCTTCAGCCACCAGGGTGCTCTTATGCTCTATTTGCTTCAACCACTCGCTTCAAAAAAAGAAAGGACAAAAGGAAAAAAGCGATCGCTTCCGGAGCCGACTGTTGTACCAGGAA